TTTTTTTTTTTTTGATTGCGCTGCGCGCACGAACTATTATGCGATGGTCGCGGGCTGGAAATTCTAAAATTCCCGACGACTGCGGCCGATTGGCGCTTGAAACTTTGATCGAGATAAATATTTATACGCGGTGACGTTATTGAATTGTCGTAAATACCAAAAAGGATATCGGTATATTGGTATGGCGTCGTATCGTGTTATTCCTCGGTTGAGCAACGTGGTGGAGTCGAATTACGAATTAATAATTTTTAGAAATACATTTCAAATGAGAAGATTAACGGGCGCGCGAGATCCAATTTGGTCGAATTAATTAATTCGCCCGGCCCCGTCGTACATGGAAAATGTGATCGCGAGCGATCGCGTATAATATCACGCATCGCTCTCTTTTTCGCGTTATTATCGTGACATATTTGTACGGCGGATACTTTATTTAGTACCGATATCGCGCGTCGGAGCATGGGTTCGTGGAAGTTGCGTATTTTCAAGCTGACGGTCTTGGAGCGTGCGAGCGGAATACAATGTGGAATATGACGCGATGTGTAAACGAAAGCCATGATATTGTCGAACTAATAACTTCGCTCGGGGTAATGTTCAATAAGTTTGATCAACCTTCAAAGTTAATAAGCTGCGCCGGTGATGCGCCTGTCGATGCGGCAATCTCGCGATTGATACTGCGCCCTCAAGCACTGAGAGCGCAGAGAGAGAGAGAGAGAGAGAGAGAGAGAGAGAGAGAGAGAGAGAGAGAGAGACTCTTTTCTTCCTCACTCGACTCTCTCGTTGAAAACTTCGGTTGAAGTTTTTATTTACGCGTCGCACGCGCGGACACTTTGCCGGGGTAACAAAATCGAAGAGCGGCGACGAGCTCGTTGCGGTTAGGTCTATGGATTAAATCTCCCTTCTCTATGCGATCCCCTCCCCGCGTGATTTTTGCTTCCGCTTCGGTCACGCTTTTTCTCTCTCCGAACGCATCAATCTGGAATTTTTTTATTTGTCGCTATGACGGCCCCCGTGGTTCGTCGATAGCCAGCCGGCCCATTTCGTTAGCAGCCCCGGCGAGAACTCCGTGATTTTTGGCAAGCCTAATTATCGTGCCCTAAATCAATCACCACCTCTGTGTTGTCGCTCTCTCGCGCGACGTGAGAAAGCGAAATTTCCGCTTCCATAACGCACGCGTAAAAAAAGCAAGATCGATGGTATCCTCGCGCGAGAACGAATAACGGTGCAATCGAATCTCAAGGGCCGGCGATCGAGTTGTCGACGATAGCGATCTCGATGTGAGAAGAGAGAAAAAAGCGGAGAATGAGGGAAGGGTCTCTCGCGCACGGAAACTGTAGCGAATCAGCGCTCGCGATACGAATCCCATCGTGTGTTCCGGGTCTGTGTGTCGCGAATGTCTCTTTCTCCCTCGCGTGGCTTTCAGCCGGTTCGGAGCGCGATAAGATTCCGCTGGTCGATTTTCCGGTTTACTACCGAAATTAGGATCCCGCCACCTTCTCACAGTCGCGCTCCACCACGTTCCCTTCCTGTATCCGCGCGGACGCGCGCCGCTGAATTAACGAAGAATTCTAATTTCGGCAAGCCTAGAGGATAGTCCGCTTTTCATGGTTCTTTGCGCTCTTCCCCGAGCGAGGGCGAACGCGAACCGGACGGACGGGGCTGGAGGGTGGATTTAATATATTTCTCGTCTTATCTCTCGCCTTATCTTCCCTTGAAGGCGACTCGCGGCGGCGAGGGAGCAAAGGATGTTGGCCCACTTTTGGTGTCTCGTAGATCGTATCGTTAATGCGAGACAAGATAGACTTGGGGGTGGGGCGACGTCCCTGATTTGTTGGCCGCGTGATAAGAATTTGTATTTCTCCTCTGGCCCCTTCATTGGTGCCGTGCCTCTAATCAAAATATTCGATTTTTCGCGACCAGCTCGTATCGCAAGAGTTTAGTTAGTTTGCACGCGCGCGCTCGCGAAAGTGTGTCTCTCTGCGTGAACTTTTCTTTCCTAATCCTGCACTACGTGCGGCGAATTTTTCTTTATTTGAATTAATATCGAGGGATTTAGATTTACTTACGATTAAGGTCCAAGGAAATCGACGTTTCCTTCGCATCCACCAAGTCCGTGTTGCGCGCTTGACAGGTAAAATTTGAACCCAGATCGGACCGGGTGATGGGTTGCAGCGTTAATCTGTCGGCATTAATGAGAAATTAATTAAACGAAGAAATTAATTAAATATGTATAAATTTATTCTATCCCCTCCGCTCCCTCGTGTTGCGCGCTTAACATTCTAACCCAGATCGGAACGAGCGATGGGTTGCCAAGGTAATTTGTCAACATTAATAGAGAGAACGAAGAAATATATTTAAAACAATACCTATTTAAAAAAATAAATAGATATATTTAAAACCTCCTCGGTAATTAGAAGCAATTGCATTAAAAACAGATGATTTTCATACGTTAATTATGCTCGCAGTTATCAGGGAGTATCGGGGAAGAAATGAATGTACCTATTCTCGATCACATCGCCAGCATTATTTTCGTACTCCTCGTCTTTCACCCGACCGTTTTTGAGCCATCTGACCATGGGCTGCGGTTTGCCTGCAACAAATAAGACGAGCAAGTTAAAAGATATAGCTTGTGTGCGCATCGTTTGTTTTTGCCACTTCATTGTCATGATTGCTATTAACACAGTTATAATTGTTATCGTCACCGTGTACGCGTCGCTCATGATTACAACTACAAACTGAAGCCCGTAATTGCTAATTTCAAAAGCGCGCGACCTCAACGGAAGCCGAAACGACCGCATTACGGGACTAATGCAGTTCATTGCGCGCAAGCCGGAAGAGTAAGAACCTAATAACTTCCTGCCTCAGCGCGGGGCTTAGTCGTAACTATCGTTTAGGGCCGAAAAACGGGTGGAGGGGTGGCCGGTGACGGCGGAGACGAGGAAAGTGTGGGGAGAGCGGGGAGGCGAGGAGCGCGCGCGGTCCGGAAGCGACGGTGGACACGTTGAGGATATCGTGTACACGGTGCAGCGAGCTTTAGCGGGGCTACTAAGCGGGTAGACGAGTTTCCCGGGAACTTTTAAATTAGCCGATACCCGGGAGCCTTCGGTGGTCGGTATGCCAAACGAACAAAAACCAGGGGACCTCGGTGGCGAGGCCGCGCGTTCGATAACTGCGAGTTATAGGTCGCCGCGCCAAATAAAAGAGGACCAATAAATACGGGCCGTATAACGGCCGGAATACACGGCGGGAACGAACGATCAAAGTGATTGAAAAATTAAAAACGAGATTACACGGCGGCGGGGGTCTCGCAACGGCGCTCTCTTTCTCTCTTTCTCTCTATGTCTTTCTTTCTCTTTCTCTCTCTCTCTCTTTCTCTCTCTCTCTCTCTCTCTCTCTCTCTCTCAACCCGTCGATATCGAAATGAAGTGTGCGCGAAAGTAAACACGGTTATAGGGCAACCCGACGGGTCTTCCCGTATATCATTTTTTCAACGTTTCGCCTGTTATCGCGAGCCGGCTTTGGAATGTTTAAACTATACGTGCCTTATTTCCTGTAAATGCGGTGGGTTATTAATGGCGTTTTATCCGCGTGCTGGTTTGCGAAGTAATAGCGATCGATAACTCCGTATGAGTGCAAAAAAGAAAAACTGGAGTGAAAATCGGCACGATGGAATGTTAGATATATATGTGTCGTTGAATCTCTCGGACATTTTTCGCATAATTATTGCAACAATCAGTTTGTAGTAACGATTATCCTTACTATGTTACTTTGATAATGAAATATTGCTGGAATAATAAGTGTAGAAACGGGGATGAGATTATTCGTGCTCGATGCATAGGTGATATTCGTTTTCGATGTAGCTTTGTAAAGACTCAATCGATTTCCTAACGTTCTCTCGTGGAAACAGGTACAATTTTTGCCGTATTATAAGGGATTTGTTCTCAAGCGTGCACACGTAGCGGAAGCAGCACAAAATATCGCGCAATAAACCGTTCATTTATTTAATGCTTCGAACCATACCCTGTCGATAAAGCGCGATAAATTATTTATTAGTTTCAGAGCGCAGCATGTATAAGTCATGCAGATACGCGATTAGAAGTCTATTATTCAATGTAATGTATGCGAAATCAATTGCCAAATTCTATTGCTATGCCATAGCCTTTGAGGTTTTCTCCGGATTTTTCTCGGAAATAAAACTGTTTGTGTCCGCATTAAATAATTTTGTCGAAAATTAGGAATATCGAGAGAATATTTGGAATTTTTATTGTAATCCCTATCCGGATGTCCATTGAATTTAATTTTGTATACAGAATGTATGCACACGGAGAGAATTTTACAGTAAAAATTACTATACAATTTTTCAACCGATGAATAAATCGACACATTCTGCAGTAATTCAGTACTTTTATTTCACAAATTAATATTTCAGAAACAAATTTATTTCAGAAACTTTTATTTCACAAATTAATATTTCTGGATTAATATTTCTGAACTGAAATGTTAAAATTTGTTAGAGGAACTTACTAAAAAATTGAAAAGAACATTTTTTATTAAAGAAGAACTATAATATTCTCTGTGTGTATATATAATTCTTTAGATACGCGATCGCGAGGTTGCCTTTTATCACGTGCGTCGACGCTTATCAATGAGACACGTCGCAGGATCACGCGGAGAATCGCCGCGACAATCATCGCGAGTTAAAAGCCCGGTTATCGCGAGCGAATCACCGTTTGCACTCAGCATCCTCGCGCATAACAATACGAAACGTTGAATGAGATAAATCGCCGGCTCGCGTACCTTGGCAAACGCGACGCGGATGTATTTTTATACGCGCTCACGCAACGGAGCTCTAATTGTAGGTAAATACACGTCGGGGGGAACGAACGCGCTGACGTGATGCACAGAAATATCGACATTTTATCGCCGATATTGGCGTAATATTTGCAGATTGCTCTTGCTGACTATCGCGCCAATATTTGTGCTACCTGGCCGGAATTATGGAACGGACGGGTCGGCGACGTAATCAAGAGAGAGAGAGATAGAGAGAGGGGGAAGGAGGGAGAGAGAGAGAGAGAGAGAGA